GCTTCGAGATTCGAGCCCCTCAAAACAATCCGATCAACACCAACCACCACATTCACAATCCCGCAAATATGGCCACCCAACAAATCCACCGCGCGAGCACTTTCGCCCCCGTCAACATCGCCGTCATCAAGTACGTCAACTGCAATCAGCCACTTGGCTAAACACACCGACACCGAGTCCGCATTCACTAACCCCTCATCAACAACACAGATACTGGGGCAAGCGGGACACCAAACTCAACCTGCCTACCAACTCTTCCCTCTCAGTCACCCTCTCCCAGGATGACCTCCGCACTCACACCACCGCCTCCTGCTCGCCCGAATTCACCCAAGACTCGCTCACCCTGAACGGCAAGGACCAGGACATCTCGGGCGCCCGCACCCAAGCATGCTTCCGCGAGCTCCGCCAGCTGCGAAAGGATGTCGAGGCCAGCGACGACTCCCAGCCCAAGCTCGCCGACCTCAAGCTCAAGGTCGTGTCCGAGAACAACTTCCCCACAGCCGCCGGCCTGGCCTCCAGCGCTGCAGGCTTCGCCGCTCTCGTTCGCGCCATTGCGAACCTCTACCAACTCCCCGCATCCCCAACCGACCTCAGCAAGATCGCCCGCCAGGGCTCCGGCTCCGCTTGCAGGAGTCTGTTCGGCGGCTACGCCGGCTGGCAAAAGGGCGAGCAGGACGACGGCAGTGACAGCTTGGCCTACGAGGTCGCACCCGCCAGCCACTGGCCCGACATGCGCGCCTGCATCCTGGTAGCCAGCGCCGAAAAGAAGGACGTCTCCTCCACCAGCGGCATGCAAGCCACCGTCGCCACCTCCGCCCTCTTCCAGGAGCGCGCCAACAACGTCGTGCCCAAACGCATGAAGGCAATGGAGAAGGCCATCCTCGACCGCGACTTCGAGGCTTTCGCCGTGCTGTCCATGAAGGACTCGAACAACTTCCACGCCACCTGCCTCGACACCGCGCCGCCAATCTTCTACATGAACGACACCTCCCGCGCGGCCGTCAGGCTGTGTGACGCCATCAACGACGCTGCGGGCAAGGTCGTCTGCGGCTACACGTTCGATGCCGGCCCCAACGCTGTCGTCTACTACCTCGCCGAGAACGAGGAGCGCGTTGCCGGCACTTTCAAGAACATCCTCGGCGACAAGACCGGCTGGGAGGGCAAGAATGTCAAGAGCGAGGTGCAGGTTCCCGAAGGAAACGAGGTTGCGGTCGAGTCGCTGAAGAAGGGCATTAGCCGCGTGATCATCACATCCGTTGGCGACGGACCGAGGAAGACGGAGGAGCACCTTTGCTAGAGGACGAGTTGATTGCGGCAGGAAACGAAAACATGAACGAGAATTTGATCAGCATTGCATGAGATATGGGCGAGGCGAGGCGAGGCATTTGGAAGTTCGTCTGGTTGCATGTGTTTCATGATACCCAAACGCATCACATGTACCGAGCATGGTAGGAAGAAGGAGAAAGAAAGAAAGAAAGAAAGAAAGAAAGAAAGAAAAACCAGCTTTACATATTTATTAATCGCATCGAAGCAGATAGCACTACTCCCAGAAGAAAGGAGTAAGCGGACACCTTCCATGTTGCGTAGACGTCGCTTGCTCTGATACGGGTATCAATATGCTGTAAGGAAATGATTAGAACTTGAATGTTACGTTGTGAGGAAACATGCAGTTATCGTGTCTCGCGCGGGAGTTGGTGTGCAGCGCTTGTATGGTTTGTTTATCCTTTCCTTCGGAATCTAGCTACAGAGCTTGTACGACGATGTTCTTCTCATTTACCAAGTTAGACGCAATCATGCCTTATGTACATCTAAAAATCACTCGTCGTCGCAGGTCATCGTCTAGAGGTTCCATGTTCATCGCCTTCATCACGTGACCTTGATATCGTTTGGCTCGGATGGAAGCTTCCGCTCGAATCACACTTCACTTCACTCGAGTCTTCCGTCTTCCGTCTTCCGCCTTCCTCTGGTCCAACATGTTTCATTGTTCACTTTAACAATCCTCCCCACAAACACTCTCATAGCTCAACCCATCTCCAAACCTGAACACAGGGTCCTCAGTGTCAAACGGAACATCCTCCATACTAGCCTCCACAGCAGCCATGCTCCTAGGGAGATCGAAAGGCAATTTACCCTGCGGCGCAGCGCCATCGATGCCGAACACAACGTCCAAGAAAGCGTCGGGGCTGGCGCCGTACTGGCCGAGCAGCGCCGCGGCGTTCTCGGCAATCTCGGGGATAGCGGCCGGGCGGTCGAGGTAGATGTCCACGATGGTCGGCACGGCGGCGAAGATCTCGGCCTGGCGCGCCTTCTCGGTGGCATTGTACTCGAGCGATCCGGCGTGGTAGTTGGCCTCAAAGCCACCCGGACGCGGCTCGTAGGGTGCTTGCAAGCGAACAAGCGCAAGATCTGCCTCTCCAACCGTCTCAACGACTTCCAGCCCGCGCGAAGTGAGCAGCGTAGCATTGAAGCCTTCGACGTAGTACTTCGGCGTCTTGTTGTCGGGCGACAGCGGCAGGATGTTGTCCTTGTTGGTCAGCAGCGTGTATTGCTTGCGCTGAGCCTCGTTACCCAAGCGCACAAAGTACGGGTTTCCGACGATGCGCTTGGCGGCCTCGACATCCACAAATGGCTCCTCGAACAAGCCCAGGGCGAACTTCTCCTTGAGCAGCAGGCGCACGGAGCGGTCGAGGCGCGACTCTTCGATGCGCCCTGTCTCGACGAGCTCGACGATCAGCTCGGTTCGCTGCTCGCCGCCGAACTGGTCGACGCCGGCGTCCAGCACACGAGCGGCGCGCTCAAGCTCGCTGAGGGATTCGACGCCCCAGGCGCGCGCGGGCATTTCTTGGCCGCGGATGTACGTGTCGGTGATGAGGCCCCAGTCAGAGACCACGATGCCTTCGAAGCCGAGCTCTTCGCGCAGGAGCTCGGTCACGATCTGCCGGTTGAAGGAGAAGCCGACCTCTTCGTACTCAGTGCCTATAGGGCGGGAGTAGTATGGCATCATCTGGCGGGCGCCGTTGGCGATAGCAGCCTTGAAAGGAATGAGGTGGTGCTCGAAGTTGTTGCCCGGGTACGTCGCGTTCTTGCCGTAGGTGAAGTGGCTGTCCTCGCCGTTCTCCATCGCTCCGCCGCCGGGGAAGTGCTTGGTGACGGTCGTGACGGAGTGGCGGCCGAACTTGTCGCCTTGGAAACCCTTGATGTACGCGACGACCATCTGCGAGGTCAGCTCGGCGTCTTCGCCGAATGTGTTGCCGATGCGTGCCCAGCGGGGTTCGGTCGAGAGGTCGATTTGGGGGTGCAGGGCGCAGCGGATTCCGATCGCTTTGTACTCTTCTGCTGCTACTTCGGCGAAGGTTTGCACCAGCTCGGGATCTCTCAGGGCGGCGAGGCCTAGGCTCTCTGGCCACTGCGAGAACTCGTTTGCCGAGAAGCCAGTGCCGATGTTGTCCGTGAAGGAGTGTCTAGGATCCGAAGACAGTGTGATTGGAATGCCGAGACGGGTCGACAGCGCCAGCTCTTGCACGGCATTGTACCAACCAGCCACGACGCCGACGTCTTGCACCTCGCCGACCAGGTTGAAGTGCGTCATCAGCTTCTCGCCCACCATGTTCTCGGTGCTGTTGCGCCTGGCCGTCACATTGCCCAGGTCCAGAGTTCCGTTTGGGCCTTGTTGGAGTTGGGTGTGGAACAGCTGGCCGGCTTTGTCTTCAATCGTCATGCGGGAGAGCAGGTCCTCGACTCGCTCGTCGATGCAGAGGGATGCGTTTTGGTAGGGGTGGATCGTCTCATTGTTGTTGTGGGCGGAGCGCAGTTGGATCAGAGATGCGTGGGACGCTTCGCGGATGCCGGGGAGACATGAGGAGGTCGAGATGAGGGATGCTGCTGCGAAGAGGGAGACGACGATGCGTGAGCGTCTGGGAGACGTGCTGAGGCCCATGATTGATTGCATTGTTGCGAAGCCTTGTAGCTGTTGAACAGTGAGCTTGAACGACGAAGGCAGCTTGGGAGGAGCAATATCACCGACTCGAGCGCCCCATCGTACCTCTTTATATAGCTACCATCTTCCCTTCTTTCACAAGCCTACACGCCATTTTTTTCTCACACGATCACGGATCTTCTGGCACTGTCAACTGCCGGCATTGCCATAACTCACGAGCTTCCACCCCAAGTCGACAACACAGACCTCTCTTCCTACACCAAAGCAAGTTAGAGTCCACGAGGCCCACGAGCTCTCGGATCTTGGCATCCACGCCAGTCTGCCGTCCTGCCCTACCGATTCTCTTCCTCGTGCTGGTCTCTGCAGACGACCGTAGGTACGGACAACCCAGTTCGCCCACATGGTTGCAAATGCGGAGGCGAGTGCGGAGTATTAGTCGAGGTGGAGAAACCTGGAGCACACGCGATTAATATGAGTCGTGCCGCTCGTGCATGTCGTTTCCAAGCAGCTAGAACTGCTTGCCAAGTCGGATTTCTCCTCTTTCTTCGTCATTGGAATCATGGGATTATTGCACTTTGGGAGGGTTGTTGCCGAGGTGTAAGGTTTGCGATCATGTTGATGTGCCGATGATCGGCGGCGTGGGTTTGGGGTGTTGAACCGTTAACCGTCACATGTATTTTTCTCGAGCCCCCCATGGCATTTGATGTTGTCGGCGTTGTATAGTATGTTGTTGCTCAAGAAATACAGTACACGAGTACTTACAAGGTGAGGAAAGTCGGAAGGCTGGGCAAGAAGTTTAAATTGCCGATGCCGACTTTCCTCACCTTGTAAGTACTCGTGTACTGTATTTCTTGAGCAACAACATACTATACAACGCCGACAACATCAAATGCCATGGGGGGCTCGAGAAAAATACATGTGACGGTTAACGGTTCAACACCCCAAACCCACGCCGCCGATCATCGGCACATCAACATGATCGCAAACCTTACACCTCGGCAACAACCCTCCCAAAGTGCAATAATCCCATGATTCCAATGACGAAGAAAGAGGAGAAATCCGACTTGGCAAGCAGTTCTAGCTGCTTGGAAACGACATGCACGAGCGGCACGACTCATATTAATCGCGTGTGCTCCAGGTTTCTCCACCTCGACTAATACTCCGCACTCGCCTCCGCATTTGCAACCATGTGGGCGAACTGGGTTGTCCGTACCTACGGTCGTCTGCAGAGACCAGCACGAGGAAGAGAATCGGTAGGGCAGGACGGCAGACTGGCGTGGATGCCAAGATCCGAGAGCTCGTGGGCCTCGTGGACTCTAACTTGCTTTGGTGTAGGAAGAGAGGTCTGTGTTGTCGACTTGGGGTGGAAGCTCGTGAGTTATGGCAATGCCGGCAGTTGACAGTGCCAGAAGATCCGTGATCGTGTGAGAAAAAAATGGCGTGTAGGCTTGTGAAAGAAGGGAAGATGGTAGCTATATAAAGAGGTACGATGGGGCGCTCGAGTCGGTGATATTGCTCCTCCCAAGCTGCCTTCGTCGTTCAAGCTCACTGTTCAACAGCTACAAGGCTTCGCAACAATGCAATCAATCATGGGCCTCAGCACGTCTCCCAGACGCTCACGCATCGTCGTCTCCCTCTTCGCAGCAGCATCCCTCATCTCGACCTCCTCATGTCTCCCCGGCATCCGCGAAGCGTCCCACGCATCTCTGATCCAACTGCGCTCCGCCCACAACAACAATGAGACGATCCACCCCTACCAAAACGCATCCCTCTGCATCGACGAGCGAGTCGAGGACCTGCTCTCCCGCATGACGATTGAAGACAAAGCCGGCCAGCTGTTCCACACCCAACTCCAACAAGGCCCAAACGGAACTCTGGACCTGGGCAATGTGACGGCCAGGCGCAACAGCACCGAGAACATGGTGGGCGAGAAGCTGATGACGCACTTCAACCTGGTCGGCGAGGTGCAAGACGTCGGCGTCGTGGCTGGTTGGTACAATGCCGTGCAAGAGCTGGCGCTGTCGACCCGTCTCGGCATTCCAATCACACTGTCTTCGGATCCTAGACACTCCTTCACGGACAACATCGGCACTGGCTTCTCGGCAAACGAGTTCTCGCAGTGGCCAGAGAGCCTAGGCCTCGCCGCCCTGAGAGATCCCGAGCTGGTGCAAACCTTCGCCGAAGTAGCAGCAGAAGAGTACAAAGCGATCGGAATCCGCTGCGCCCTGCACCCCCAAATCGACCTCTCGACCGAACCCCGCTGGGCACGCATCGGCAACACATTCGGCGAAGACGCCGAGCTGACCTCGCAGATGGTCGTCGCGTACATCAAGGGTTTCCAAGGCGACAAGTTCGGCCGCCACTCCGTCACGACCGTCACCAAGCACTTCCCCGGCGGCGGAGCGATGGAGAACGGCGAGGACAGCCACTTCACCTACGGCAAGAACGCGACGTACCCGGGCAACAACTTCGAGCACCACCTCATTCCTTTCAAGGCTGCTATCGCCAACGGCGCCCGCCAGATGATGCCATACTACTCCCGCCCTATAGGCACTGAGTACGAAGAGGTCGGCTTCTCCTTCAACCGGCAGATCGTGACCGAGCTCCTGCGCGAAGAGCTCGGCTTCGAAGGCATCGTGGTCTCTGACTGGGGCCTCATCACCGACACGTACATCCGCGGCCAAGAAATGCCCGCGCGCGCCTGGGGCGTCGAATCCCTCAGCGAGCTTGAGCGCGCCGCTCGTGTGCTGGACGCCGGCGTCGACCAGTTCGGCGGCGAGCAGCGAACCGAGCTGATCGTCGAGCTCGTCGAGACAGGGCGCATCGAAGAGTCGCGCCTCGACCGCTCCGTGCGCCTGCTGCTCAAGGAGAAGTTCGCCCTGGGCTTGTTCGAGGAGCCATTTGTGGATGTCGAGGCCGCCAAGCGCATCGTCGGAAACCCGTACTTTGTGCGCTTGGGTAACGAGGCTCAGCGCAAGCAATACACGCTGCTGACCAACAAGGACAACATCCTGCCGCTGTCGCCCGACAACAAGACGCCGAAGTACTACGTCGAAGGCTTCAATGCTACGCTGCTCACTTCGCGCGGGCTGGAAGTCGTTGAGACGGTTGGAGAGGCAGATCTTGCGCTTGTTCGCTTGCAAGCACCCTACGAGCCGCGTCCGGGTGGCTTTGAGGCCAACTACCACGCCGGATCGCTCGAGTACAATGCCACCGAGAAGGCGCGCCAGGCCGAGATCTTCGCCGCCGTGCCGACCATCGTGGACATCTACCTCGACCGCCCGGCCGCTATCCCCGAGATTGCCGAGAACGCCGCGGCGCTGCTCGGCCAGTACGGCGCCAGCCCCGACGCTTTCTTGGACGTTGTGTTCGGCATCGATGGCGCTGCGCCGCAGGGTAAATTGCCTTTCGATCTCCCTAGGAGCATGGCTGCTGTGGAGGCTAGTATGGAGGATGTTCCGTTTGACACTGAGGACCCTGTGTTCAGGTTTGGAGATGGGTTGAGCTATGAGAGTGTTTGTGGGGAGGATTGTTAAAGTGAACAATGAAACATGTTGGACCAGAGGAAGGCGGAAGACGGAAGACGGAAGACTCGAGTGAAGTGAAGTGTGATTCGAGCGGAAGCTTCCATCCGAGCCAAACGATATCAAGGTCACGTGATGAAGGCGATGAACATGGAACCTCTAGACGATGACCTGCGACGACGAGTGATTTTTAGATGTACATAAGGCATGATTGCGTCTAACTTGGTAAATGAGAAGAACATCGTCGTACAAGCTCTGTAGCTAGATTCCGAAGGAAAGGATAAACAAACCATACAAGCGCTGCACACCAACTCCCGCGCGAGACACGATAACTGCATGTTTCCTCACAACGTAACATTCAAGTTCTAATCATTTCCTTACAGCATATTGATACCCGTATCAGAGCAAGCGACGTCTACGCAACATGGAAGGTGTCCGCTTACTCCTTTCTTCTGGGAGTAGTGCTATCTGCTTCGATGCGATTAATAAATATGTAAAGCTGGTTTTTCTTTCTTTCTTTCTTTCTTTCTTTCTTTCTTTCTCCTTCTTCCTACCATGCTCGGTACATGTGATGCGTTTGGGTATCATGAAACACATGCAACCAGACGAACTTCCAAATGCCTCGCCTCGCCTCGCCCATATCTCATGCAATGCTGATCAAATTCTCGTTCATGTTTTCGTTTCCTGCCGCAATCAACTCGTCCTCTAGCAAAGGTGCTCCTCCGTCTTCCTCGGTCCGTCGCCAACGGATGTGATGATCACGCGGCTAATGCCCTTCTTCAGCGACTCGACCGCAACCTCGTTTCCTTCGGGAACCTGCACCTCGCTCTTGACATTCTTGCCCTCCCAGCCGGTCTTGTCGCCGAGGATGTTCTTGAAAGTGCCGGCAACGCGCTCCTCGTTCTCGGCGAGGTAGTAGACGACAGCGTTGGGGCCGGCATCGAACGTGTAGCCGCAGACGACCTTGCCCGCAGCGTCGTTGATGGCGTCACACAGCCTGACGGCCGCGCGGGAGGTGTCGTTCATGTAGAAGATTGGCGGCGCGGTGTCGAGGCAGGTGGCGTGGAAGTTGTTCGAGTCCTTCATGGACAGCACGGCGAAAGCCTCGAAGTCGCGGTCGAGGATGGCCTTCTCCATTGCCTTCATGCGTTTGGGCACGACGTTGTTGGCGCGCTCCTGGAAGAGGGCGGAGGTGGCGACGGTGGCTTGCATGCCGCTGGTGGAGGAGACGTCCTTCTTTTCGGCGCTGGCTACCAGGATGCAGGCGCGCATGTCGGGCCAGTGGCTGGCGGGTGCGACCTCGTAGGCCAAGCTGTCACTGCCGTCGTCCTGCTCGCCCTTTTGCCAGCCGGCGTAGCCGCCGAACAGACTCCTGCAAGCGGAGCCGGAGCCCTGGCGGGCGATCTTGCTGAGGTCGGTTGGGGATGCGGGGAGTTGGTAGAGGTTCGCAATGGCGCGAACGAGAGCGGCGAAGCCTGCAGCGCTGGAGGCCAGGCCGGCGGCTGTGGGGAAGTTGTTCTCGGACACGACCTTGAGCTTGAGGTCGGCGAGCTTGGGCTGGGAGTCGTCGCTGGCCTCGACATCCTTTCGCAGCTGGCGGAGCTCGCGGAAGCATGCTTGGGTGCGGGCGCCCGAGATGTCCTGGTCCTTGCCGTTCAGGGTGAGCGAGTCTTGGGTGAATTCGGGCGAGCAGGAGGCGGTGGTGTGAGTGCGGAGGTCATCCTGGGAGAGGGTGACTGAGAGGGAAGAGTTGGTAGGCAGGTTGAGTTTGGTGTCCCGCTTGCCCCAGTATCTGTGTTGTTGATGAGGGGTTAGTGAATGCGGACTCGGTGTCGGTGTGTTTAGCCAAGTGGCTGATTGCAGTTGACGTACTTGATGACGGCGATGTTGACGGGGGCGAAAGTGCTCGCGCGGTGGATTTGTTGGGTGGCCATATTTGCGGGATTGTGAATGTGGTGGTTGGTGTTGATCGGATTGTTTTGAGGGGCTCGAATCTCGAAGC